GGCACCACCGCTCATGATTGCCGGCACGACAGAAAGGCGCGGAAAATGGCCGCACAAGGGGTTTTGCGGCAGAAAGGCGACACTTCTGCGGCCGTTGACGTCACGATGGTTGCCAACAAACAAGATGTCATGGCGGTTGTCAACGCATATGACTTTCATGGCGGTGTCACGCAACGCTCATGGTGACAGGTTTACGCCCTTGGCGGCCGCAGCGTCCATGACGCAAATGTTTTGTTTTGGCATGGTGGTTGGCAACGCATATGATTCCCAACCACCGTGAAAGTCATATGCGTTGCCACCGCCAAGAAAAAAACATGCGCGTCGTGGACGCTGCGGCCACCAAGGGCGCAAACCTGACATCGTGAGCGTTGCCAACCGCCGTGAAAGTCATATGCGTTGAGCGCCGCCATGAAAAAGTCATACGCGTTGCCAACTGCCATGGCAACACATACGATGTCATATTTACGCCCTCAGCGGCCGCAGCGGCCATGATGATTTTCAGGCGGCTGGCAACGCATATGAATTTTCACATCATCGCTTCTTTGAACATCATGGGGGGGGGGCTGCCGCGCCCGCTACTTTAAGATTTCTACAGATATTTCATTGCGCCCCTATTTGAATCATCACTTCTTCGAACATCATGAGCGGCCGCCCCCAAAGCCCCCGCTAATTATTGAATTTTCTACAGAGATTTCGTTGCGCCCCTACTTGAATCATCTTCGAACATCATGGGGGGGCTGCCGCCCCCCCCAACCCCCCCAACCCCCCCAACCCCCCCAACCCCCCCACTACTTCTCGGATATCTACAGAGATTTCATTGCCCCTATTTGAATCATCACTTCTTCGAACATCAGGGGGGGGGGGCTGCCGCCCCCCCTCAACCGCCCCCCCCGCTACTTTGTGGATTTCTACAGTGCGCCTCTATTGGATTCGAACATCATGGGGGTGTCTCCCCCCCCCAACCCCCCGTTACTTTTTGATTTTTCTCCAGAGATTTCATTGCGCTCGTGTTGGAATCATCACATCATTGGGGGGGGGCTGCCGCCCCCCCAACCCCCCCGCTACTTTTTAGATTATCTACAGAGATGTAATGTGAGATTTATTTGAATCATCACTTCCAACATGATTGGGGGGGCGGCAGCCCCCCCCAACCCCCCCCTACTTTGTGGACTGTCTACAGAGATTTCATTGCGCTTCCGTTTGAATCATCACTTCTTCGAACATCAAGGGGGGGCTCTGCCGCCCGCCCCAACCCGCCCTCTACTTCTTGGGTTTACTACAGAGGTTTCTTTGGGGGGGCTGCCGCGCCCCCCAACCCCCCCCCCCCCCCCGGCTAGTTATTGAATTTTCTACAGAGATTTCATTGCGCCCCTACTTGAATCATCAGTTCTTCGAACATCATGGGGGGCGCTGCCCGCCCCAACCCCCCAGCTACTTTTCGAATTTCTACAGAGATTTCATTGCGCCCCTATTTGAATCATCACTTCTTCAAACATCCTGCCGCCCGCCCCAACCCGCCCGCTTTTTTTTCATTTTGGTTGACAACGCATATGACTTCATGGTAGTTGGCAACACATATGATTTTCATGAAGGTTGGCAACTCGTGTCTTCTTCATGGTGGTTGACAACGCATAGGGTTTTGTGGTGGATGGCGTCGCATATGGTTGTTTCATGGTGGTTGGCAACGTGTATGATTTTTCATGGTGGTTGGCAACGCATATGATTTTTCATGGTGGTTGGCAATGTGTATGATTTTTCATGGTGGTTGGCAACTCCTATGATTTTTCATGGTGGTTGGCAACGCATATATTTTTCATGGTGGTTGGCAACGCATATGATTTTTCCATGGTGGTTGGCAACGTGTATGATTGTTCATGGTGGTTGGCAACGTGTATGACTTTTCATGGGTGTTGGCAACGTGTATGACTTTTCATGGCGGTTGGCAACGCATATGATTCTTCGCGGTGGTTGGCAACGCATGTGACTTTTTGCGGTGGTTGGCAACGTGTATGATTTTTCATGGTGGTTGGCAACGCCTATGAATTTTCATGGTGGTTGGCAACGCCTATGATTTTTCATGGTGGTTGGCAACGCGTATGACTTTTCATGGTGGTTGGCAACGCATATGGTTTTTCATGGTGGTTGGCAACGCATATGATGTTTCATGGCCTACCCTCCCACTCTGTTCAGGGATCCTTATCTTCAGGAAAATGGCAGAATCTCTTGGGATGAAGAATTTGGGGGAGTCAACCCATTGAACACCCCCATGCTTGGTCAAACAGATCGCTGTCCGCTCATTACATCCACAGCAGCTCCCGGCCTCATATTCATCATCGGACGGCTGAGTCCGCTGAGCAGTAGCGGAGCAATACAGCTAGAAACTCCTGGGACGAGGCTGATATGTGTTCACACTCCACACAGTTTGAAAATAATAGGTTCACAGCTTGAAACCATGCGTACAGGTCACAAGGTTGGCTCTGGATTCCTGCGCTGAAATATTCAACACTTGATGACAACTGAGTTGCCCCTTGCTCTGCCATGGATCCGCAGTGGCCCCTTTCTCGCCCTGGTGGATGCGGCCGGCTGCCGGTGAGTGTCTCGCTGTGGCTGGTTAAGCGGGTGTGTCACAGCCCGAGAAAGCATAGTGGCTGTTGCGTTCACGCTTTGTAGCTCTTGTCTGTTGCCAGCAAAGTATGGCATGCTGAAATGTGTACACTCGGAACCTCCTCACCAAAGCAGAAAGCGAGCGAGCGAGCCAACAACCAACCAGCCAGCCAGCCAGCCAACCAGCCAGCCAGCAAGCAAGCAAGCAAGCAAGCAGCCAAAAACACAAAAGATGGAAAGAAAGAAAAACAGAAAAGAGCGAACAACAATAGGAGAGAAAGAAAGGAAAAAACCGCAAACAACTATAAAACAAACTAACTCCAAAATGCCAACAAACAGTCACACACAAAAAAAAACAAACACACACACGCAAACAAACAAACCAAACCAAACCAAAACAAAACAACAACAAAACAAGGCAACGCAAAGCAAAACAGCTGAACAAACAATCAAAACAACACAAAGCAACAAACAAACAGACAAACAAACGCACAAACAGACAAACAAGCACACAAACAGGCAAAACAAACAAACAAACAAGCAAACACACAAATGATCAAACGATCAAACGATCAAACAAACAAACAAACAAACAAACAAACAAACAAACAAACAAACACACACAAAAAAAAAAAACACGAACGGACAGGCAGACAGGCAAACAAACAAGCAAACAAACAAACAAAAAAGCAAACAACAACTGCAAAGCAAAATCAAGCAAAACAAACAACATAAGGCAAAAAAACAGCCAAACACGCAAACGGACAGACGCGCAGGCAGGCAGACAAACAAACACAACAAATCAAGACAAAACAAGGCAAAATAATACAAACGAAACAAAACAAACAAAACAACACAACGCGCACAAAACAACGCAACACAAAAGGAAAACAAAACAAAGCAAAGCAAAGCAAAGCAAAGCAAAGCAAACCAACCAACCAACCAAACAAACAAACAAAATAGAGAAGAAACCAAACGCACAACACGCAAACGCACAGGCAGGCAAACAGACAAACAAGCAAACAAACAAGCAGACAAGCAAACACCACAAATCAAATCAAAACAATAACAACAAATGAAACAAGAGAAACGAAACAGCACAAAAAAAGAAAAAAAGCAAACCAAACAAACGTGCACGCAAACAAACAAACACAAACAAACAATTAAACCAACAAACAAGCGAAGCAAACAACTCAGAGCCACTTGCTTGGCTTGGGGAAGTGGAGTCCCTAGTCCTGCAGCGGCCCATTGAGGTACGAAATGTCAACCAGGAGCCTGCTGGGTCGGCAGGTTTGGCGCGTGCCATGCAAATTCCCCAAAAAGCCGCAAGGAGAAGGAAAGGGTCCAAGCCATCTTTCGCACGTCAAATGGAGGACCAAAAGAGTCAACATTCTTGGATGGCATCCGAGGTTGAAGGACGTCAAAGAATATTCATATGCAGACTTTTCATGGTACACAATCGTGCACAAAGTGGACTTCGGGCAACTTGGGGCCATAGACAAAAAAGGCACTGCTGCGCACGTCTAAAACCTGCACCATGTTGTGGTGGAGCCTCAAGCCAGAATGAAACACACACGCACGCACGCACGCACGCACGCACGCACGCACGCACGCACGCACGCACGCACGCACGCACGCACGCACGCACGCACGCACGCACGCACGCACGCACGCACACACCCTGCGAGGCCAGAGTCAAAGGTAGGATTCCAGGTATGGTCAAATCTCATTTTGCCTTTCTTGTTCTTTTTTTTGGGCTTTCGTGTCGATCCCGCGCCGGGGGTCAAGTCTCCTTGTCAGCTGGCCACGGTTGCCACAAAAATCCCTATCGTCGAGTCAGCTTGGAACAGGTACTCATTCTTGAGGGGCCCTAAACGGGGGTACTCATAGATTCATAAACGGTGATTCTCTTAAACAGTTTACCTACCATGGTTGCCATGACCCTAAAATCGCCTCTTTGTGGATCCCCTATTTGGGGCCACCTGAACAAGCCACTTGAAACACCTCGTCCACTCTTTGTCTCTCATTCTCTCAGGCCATGCCTTTGGGAGGCACACGCGCAGCTACTGGGAAATGGATCAAACGGCGGCGGCGGGCACAAATGCCTTGTGTTCAGTCCCCCGTGGCAATTTGTGGGGGGAAGGCAAAAAGAAATCTGCCTTTTGCACATGCCCATGAACTCTGTGATGTTTGAACCCCTATTTCAAGCCAATACATCTCGGTTTCGTTGGGCGGTCGCCAGAACGCCGCTCAATGTTGAGCGGACTTCCACTGCACTTCCACTTTCCATGTTCAGACCCCTTCACAATTCAGGTCCGAGCCCGCACCAAAAATTATGGTTCAAAAGCATCCCCGAAACAGCTTGGGCCCTTGCAACCTTTGGCCAAGGCTGCGGCATTGATGTAGGCGCCAGAAGATGTTTGCCCAAGAAAGAAGAGCGGCACAAGCTTGGGCGAGATCACCTGACGCACGTGCCTATGCAAGACCCCTTAGCTGCCAAATTTCATGGGTCAGGTCAGTTCGTTCGGGATTTGGGTGTTTTAAGGTGCTAAAAAAGAATAAGGGTTTTTTACTCAAACTTAAGGGTTTGCCAAAACAAAAAAAGAAAAGCCCAGATTTTGAAGCAAATCTCAAAGTGTACTATTGATGCCAGTTTCCTCGAATCAAGAATCAATTTGCTTGCTTCCCAGGGGACCGCGCCGTTTCTGCGCGCTAAGCCTTAGGGGTAAGACAGCTTGACGATCCTGCTGAAAGGGGTTTGGGGGCATCTAAACAGAAATGAGTCTTGGCCGCCAAGAGGAAAGGGCTTGAACTGCTTTCCGGGAATAACTTGCCTCTTCTGTACGCAGCAAAATGCGTTGTGTTGGAGCCCAAATTCTGCTCGCATTTTGGCAGATTGGGCTTGCGTTTGCGGCAATTGCGAGTTTTCACAAAGAAAGCAGCGATCTGCAACAAATCCTGCATGGGCACATTTTTTAGGGTTCTGGCCACACGCTACATAATACGGAGCAGAACGTGTTTTTCTTGGTAGGCGTTTCTCAGAGGCCCCAGGTTCCTCGTGAACCAACTCCGAACAAACTCCGAACAAACTCCAAGCGAACTCCGAACTCCGAACGAACTCAGAATGAACTCCGAACAAACTCCGAGCAAACTCCGGACAAACTCCGAACGAACTCCGAACGAACTCCGGGCGAGCTCGGAACAAACTCCGAACAAGCGAACAAGCTCCGAGCAAGCTTTGTCATTGGTTGATTTCCGAACAAACCCCCGAGCCAACTCCGAACACACTTTGGCCATAAGCATGTTTTTGAGCCTAAGTATTTTGGTGGTCAAACTGTTTTTGTTGCCTTTTTTCTGGCATACCAAGGAGGCCAAGTGATTACAGGGGCCAGTTTCAACAAGTGGCCTGGGAAGGCGTTCAGCCGGATTTGTAGGACTTCAGAGCTGCGGAGGGCTAAAATCGCTACCGGGGTGATCACGCAGCTTGGTTGACGCTGAGGCTCGCTGTTGAAGCTGAAACAAAGCTTAATCCTTTTGATCAAGGCTTAATCCGGGAAAAAAATATTATTCCAAAAAAAAAGGCTTAAGTTCAACACCGGTGTTGAACTTAAGGGTTTGCCCGATTTGTGTAATGGCTTGCCCGATTTTGGTCGTATGAAATAGCTGTTTTCTTGCATGAAAAGCCTGGATTAAGCCTGTTTCAATGTTTTTTTGCCCTGGTAACACTAAATTTGTACGAAAAACGCATCAACAAGCTGTAATTCCAGTGTTTTTGTACGACCAAAACCCAAAAAGTTCAACACCGAAAAAAAAAATAAGCTCCAAAAAAAAACTTAAGGCCAAAGTTCGTTCGGAGTTCGTTCGGAGTTCGTCCGGGGCAAGAATTAAGCCCCGAAAAAAACAATAAGCAAAAATCACAGCCTGAAAAAAAAATCGAGCAATAAAACAAAACAAAGCCGAAAAAACTGAAACTTAAGGCCGAAACACAAAAATCAGCTCCCCCAAAGAAAAATATGGCCAAAGTTTGTTTGGCGCTTGTCCGGGAAGTAAATCCAGCCCGAAACATACATAACAGGAAAATCAAGTGACCAAAAGAACTAATTTCAACAAGTGGCCTGAGAACATGTTTGTTTGCCTCAAAAAACACCTTCCCAGGCCACTTGTTGAAACTGGCCCCTGTAATCACTTGGCCTCTTTTGGTAAGCCCGAAAAAGCAAAAAAAAACAGCTTGGCCACCAAAATACCTGGGCTCAAAAACATACTTATGGCCAAAGTGTGTTCGGAGTTGGCTCGGGAACAATGCCAAAGTTCGCTCGGAGCTTGTTCGCTTGTTCGGAGTTTGTTCCGAGTTCGCCCGGAGTTCGTTCGGAGTTTGTTCGGAGTTCGTCCGGAGTTTGTCCGGAGTTCGTTCGGAGTTCGCTCGGAGTTTGTTCGGAGTTCGTTCGGAGCTCGTTCGGAGTTCGTTCGGAGTTTGTTCGGAGTTCGTTCGGAGTTCGTTCGGAGCTTGTTCGGAGTTCGTTCGGAGTTTGTTCGTTCGGAGCTTGTTCGGAGTTGGTTCACGGGGAACCTGGGGCCTCTGAGAAACGCCTACCAAGAAAAACACGTTCTGCTCCGTATTATGTAGCGTGTGGCCAGAACCCTAAAAATGTGCCCATGCAGGATTTGTTGCAGATCGCTGCTTTCTTTGTGAAAACTCGCAATTGCCGCAAACGCAAGCCCAATCTGCCAAAATACGAGCAGAATTTGGGCTCCAACACAACGCATTTTGCTCGTACAGAAGAGGCGGTTTCATAGTTAAGTTTTTCCCGGAAAGCAGTTCAAGCCCTTTCCTCTTGGCGGCCAAGACTCATTTCTGCTTAGATGACCCCAAACCCCTTTCAGCATGCGCATCAAGCTGCCTTACCCTTAAGTTTTTTTGGTGTTGAACCGAATTCTCCACGCAAATTGGCACCCTTAGCACACTCAAAAGCCGTGGTTCGCCAACATGGGCAAACGAAAGAAAAGAAGCGCATGTGGATAGCTGTCATGGAGCAAATAGAGGACTCTGCTTTACGTAACCTGGAACATGTTCAGCTCAGATCTGCAAATTGACATCCATCCATCCATCCATCCATCCATCCATCCATCCATCCATCCATCCATCCATCCATACATCCCTCCATCCATCCATCCATCCGTCCCTCCCTGCCTCCCTCCATCCATCTGCAAATTGACATCCAAAGTTCTGAGCTGGCTCTGAGTCAAAACCCCGTACCTTCAGTGAACATCCCAATTCAACCACTCAAATAGGTTCGAAAATGGGTGGTGAATTCACCTAGCCCAAAATTGGATCTTATTGGTGTTGACCCACAGCCACATCACGTCGTGGCAGAAAGTGACTGGACTAGGTGCCCTGCCTTTTGACCCTCAGGTTTTGGGGCTGACTCCAATTGCTTTGGGGGGGACTGATGCTCCAGGTCCATCCCACTCGACCCGTGGCTCGCTCGGCTCAGCCGCAGCGCGACGCGTCCCGGGCCCCGCGCCCCGAAGAACTGCGCGGAGGCGGAGGCCACCGACCCGGCCACCGCGCCCACCAGCGCGCCCAGCGCCAAAATCTCAGAGCCGCCGGGTGGGGGTCTCACTCACACATATATATATATATATATATATATATGTACCAGTCCCTGGGCCACGTACCCCCCTCCCCCCCCCCCAATGGTATGGCCCCCATCCCGCATCATCCGCATCTTGGGGATGATGCTGGCAATGCTGGGGATGCTGTCCAGTACCGTGCGAGCCCTGCAGCTTCGGTCCCAGACCCCCTTTCACCCCGTGAACCAACACCCCCGCACCTCTCGCAACATCCTACCCTAAACCAAACCACCCTGCAACCCCTCCTTAACCCCAACCCTAAGCCTAAATCAACCCCAAACCCACCCGAAACCCACCGCAAACCAACCCTGAACCAACCCTGAACCAACCCTAAACCAACCCACCAAGCCTAAACCAACTCCGACCACCCAACCACCCAACCACCCAACCACCCAACCACCCACCACCACCCCACCACCCACCACCCACACCAACCACCCCACCACCCACCCCCCACCCCACCACCACCACCACCCCAAACCCCACCCCACCACACCCCCACAGGGGGGGGGGGGGGGGGGGGGGGGGGGGGGGGGGGGGTCCACGGCCTGGAACATATATATATATATATATACATATACCTCTGTATATCTATATATTGTATACATACTAGTACATTATACACATTATATATATATATATGGTGTATATGTATGTATATTCGGGAAGACGAAAAGATACCCACCCACAAGTTGATGCTATGCTTTGAACATGAAATTGATACGCGAGTTTCAGCAAATTGGTAATTGGTGGTGTTTGGTGCTGTTTGGTCGCCCTTTTTCACTATTTCGAGGGGGGGGGCATTCAGCTGACACACACACACACACCAAAAAAAGGAAGAAAACATCGGGAACTGATGTGACTCTGGCTGTTTGAAACACCACTGCCATTCACCTGGGAATCGAAATGGATAGGAACGGAACCCTCTTGGCCAAGGCAGCTTGGACTTTCTCCCGGCCAACATCGGTCTTGCGCCCTGAAAGCTGAGGGTCTCAAGTCTGCCCCGCTCGCTCTGAGAAGCCCGGGCAGTGAATCTGCTGGCAGACTCTCCAACTGTCGCCGCCTGGGATGTTTTTGACACCAGCGTGAAAGTCTTTGAACCGGAAAAATCCAAACCCCTGGCTCATGTGGCTAGACATCACACACACAGCCCACACAAAATGGGAAGGCTGCGGGCTTTCTTTCAAAGTCCGGAGCCGGAGTGCCTCTTTTGAGACACGGCGATGTTGTTGTCTGGGAAGCCGAGATGAACCCAGGGCCCATCAATCGGCTTTCGTCACATGTTCACTTCGGAAGGGCATGCTCGGTCAAAAAGCTATGGCAGACATCCGAACATGTCGCAGGGGTTGCACTGACTATATGCACTGAAACATGGAGATGTTCCTCGGACGGAATTGTGGCAGCCAGCAGTATCTCCTTTGCCAGGGAAGGCCCCAGCCGATGCCACATGTTTGCAAGGATGATGTGGATATGGGTCCAAATTGAACCACCAAAAAGCCGCAGACTTTAGTCCTGGAAAGTTGTTCGGAAACGGAGCTGCAAGGGGACCCAATGCCAACAGCCTTGTGGTTTGGTCGCCTGGGTGTCTTTCTGCAGGTACACAGTGTTCTTCGGGTCAAAAGGAAAAACAAAAGGATTATATATTCATATGCTCCATATATACCTACCAGGTGTGCATTTGTTATGCCGCTTGCTGAAAAAGCAGTATGTTGTGTCGATTGCTCCAACAAGAACCTTTTCCTTTTAAAAGTGCTGCTTCAAAATCTTGACAGAACGTGGTCGGCAAATGGCACTGTTTGGTCAGGGAATGTCGCCTTTGGGTCGGGCAATGTCGCCTTTTCGTCGTCATCCTGGTTTCGCAAAACACAAAATATGCAAACATGCACTGAGGCAACAAAATGTGTCGTTTCCACCCAAAGCAGCCTTTGGCCCAAACAGCACAAAAAATGCGCACTTCGGAGGGCCCAGGTATATATATATATATATTTGTTTGGGTCTCCTAAAAAGACACACGCACACTCACCCATTTTGAGGTTCGAAGCAAGCCTGGCAAACCTTGCCCGGGAAGCCGGGCAATCAGTGCTGCCACCAGCACAGCCCCCAATAGCATCGAGAGGGCCAGGCGCACCTGTCAAAAGGAAATCCAGTGGATCGGACAGGGCTGCGGGAAATGGAATCCACCCCTCTGATACAACAGAAAGGGCTTCCCAAAGACTAACCCCCCATATAAAGGGGGGGAATCAGGGTTGTGGGATCAAGGGGTTTATCCCCACTTCTGTGATACAAGGGAATCTCCCCCCTTTATATGGGGGGGTTAGTCTTTGGGAAGCCCTTTTGTTGTATCGCAGAAGTGGTCAGTTCCCACAGCCCTGGGGGGAATTCACTTGAGTCACAGAAGTTGGGATAAACCCCTTGATCCCACAAATCTGATCTACATGGGTTCTCAACATTGGTGGATACCTCCAAATGGGCGGTGTCCTTCTGCTTTCACTAAAACCAAGCTCAAGAAGGACCCTCAAAAATAACAGATGGCTGGGCGGGTAAGAGGGGCGTGATTTGCTTGGGCTTGGCAGATTGGCGGGTTCAGTGGCTGGTTGGGGTCGACCAGGTGCAGAAAAGCCCTTTCCTGGCTGGGCTACTTGCAAATATCACCAGCTGACATCTCTGGGACGTGTTTCAGTACACCAAGTAAGAGTCGTCAAAGTAAGGATAAGGAGACAGGCCATTTCCAAGAGGCCTGTCACTGAAGTCCAGCTCTCCGGAAAAACAGTGGATGTGTCGGAAACAGCTTCTGCCGAGTTTCTCGGGGTTAGCCTTTTGGTTGCTCCTTCCCTTTCGGGGAACCAACCCGAAGCTTTACGGAAGGCCAAATCGCTGGAAGGCCAGGAACTCTCGCCATACGCCTGGTACACCTTCCGGAAGCCATAGTGCCGGTCGAAGTAGGGGTCCAGCCTGCGATGCGTGCGGCTTTGTCTTATTCCCAGAATAAGACTTTTGTTTTGCAAGGCTTCACAGACACCCAAAGAATTTATCAGAAACTTGTTTGAAAGCTTCCCTGGCCTGACACACAGTGCACCAGAATCAGAATCCCAAGTCCTCATCAAGCAGCCTGCCTTTGTGGCCCCTTTGAAAGGAGCCTGGCAAATGGAGCCTGGCAAATTCCGTCTTTCAAAGGGGAGCATCGTCCGTGTGGAAACATCAAGTTGTGGCTTAGGCTGGAGGTTTGTAGCACTTTGAGAACCCTTCCAACGGTTCTGCAATCCAGCGAAATTAATGCCACGGCCCGTTTGTGGCCGTTTTTAAGACTGCAAACGAGGGGCACCCGCCTCCAAATGCATCCAAATGCCAGCAAAGTTGGCCAGGGGTGTATGTCAAGGTGTTTTTTCCTTTTTGCGCTCTCCTTTGGTGCGTCATGCCCATCTCGGAAGGCCTTTTGGCGCTGTGTGGAAACGGATCCCAGCGGGCCGCCCAACTGAACAACGGCACGCCTTCTTGCGAGCATGAAGACCAGGAACGGAGCAGTATACACCACGGCGCACATCCTGGGCCATAAGTGAAGCACGCAGCCAGATTTAAAATTGACTCTTCCGCGCATATCACGGTCTCCAAGCATGTGCCAAGTCTGGTCCAAAGTAGCATACATGCTGGGATGCTGCAAAACACACACCCAAGCGCTCCGGGACTCACCATGCTCGGTGAGATTGCATACACATATGTCAATGGCGCTCGAGATGGGCAGTAACAAGAACACATATTTCATCACAGGACTCCCTGAAACGAACTCGCGTTTCGTGTGTGTGCGATGGGCTGCTGGCTGCTGAGTGAGACAACAAAAGCCAGCTCCCTTTGAGAAGGCCCAATGTAACAGATTAGAAAGGAAATTCTGCGTACCCAAGGCCCTCATCCATTGAATGCTTGGAGCGGCGCCAAACGAAGAAGTACTTGTCCTGGAACCGATCTCCTAGGTATCCTCCAGCTGACAAGTACACGTTGACCTTGGCTCGTGGTCAAGTGCCCCACCCAAGTTCCATCAGCGCGAGTGCTGTGTTGTTGCTATCCGCGTGATACAGCACGCTGACCCAATCGACTTTCTCGACAAATGAAGTATGATCGGCATGTCTTCATGCAATGTGATCGTTCCCTATGCAAGTCCCTATCGTTTCCCAACGTTCTAGCAACTTCGATCAAGGGTGAATCTCCTTTTTGCGACTTGTTTTTGATCAACATGAATGTAACCCCGAACACTAACCACAACAGTGGCGATGTTGATTGTTCCTCATGTAGACATCAGGCCCTTCTCATAAATAGAAACCGCTGAACCAACACAGGAAGCGAGATGCCACGTCTTTGCCACGCAGCGCAGCAGCCTTGACCGAAGCCGAAGGCAGTAACCATCCACCTGCGGACCATGTGCGTTGCTCGATCCCCACTCTGTCGGAACCCGGAAGCAGAAGGTCAACCCTATGAGGGTCCCCGGGCCACGGTAACAACGGGCGGTGGATGTTAAGACCAATTGTTATAAAAAAAAATATGGCAGTCAAAAGCACATCAAAACAATCGTGTGAGACGGCTTCTGGGCAGGACGGACAGCCAACCACAAAGCTTCTGCATACCCAGGGCAAAGGAGACCGCATTAAAAAGGAATGGCGTGATGCTGGCCAACAACTTGTTCGAATACAAACAATAAACCGCCGTCAACATGAAGTGGGAGTGAGTCGTTGTTGGATAAGGCTATTGCCCAGGAATGGCATCTTGACTCTTGTGTTGAGGACTGGTGGGTGCTCATGCTCTATATATAGATATATATATATATATGCAAAACCGCCTGCGCGCATGTTTTTTTCCCCAACAGCTGAAAGCTTTGGGGTCTCAGCCCACGAGGGTTCCACGAGGGTTCCACCAGGGTTCCACGAGGGTTCCACGAGGGTTCCACGAGGTTCTGCGAGGGCTGCGGGGTGGTGCGAGCACTGAAAAGAGCACCGCATGCTGTTGGGGATATCACCTGAACTTAATTTTTTATGCTAATGGCTGCTGGATACTGTGGTTCCACTCAGTTTCACGATGATCATCAATGATCCAATGCATCTCCAGGATGCACAAATGAGCAGGGCCCGAGACCCATGGACTTTTGGTTCTACTAGCATGTCTATAAGGCTTATAATATAGCCAACTCATGTGAAACAAGGCAGCAGCTGCCAATTCTGCTCTGTGATTAAGAATTGGAAATGTGTCAGAGGGTGGCTCATAGTGGCTCCCATGTAATTCTGATTGTTGCACGCAACGTGATTGGCTGCAGGTGAATCACGCATCCCTTCTTGTTGCAAACAATAAACGCCCACCTCTCTCTCTCTCTCTCTCTCTCACGCACGAACAACTCAAAGGCTGGGCAATTCACCCCCCGGCATGTCTGTTCAACGTACCATATGCTGGCTGAAGCTGAGTCCCACCAAGAGTCTCACGGCTGGGCTGTAGGGCTCGACACGAGTGGTTCAATCGTGGCATTCATCCAATCCTGAGCGGCCTTGTTCGACACCAAAACGGAAAATCCCCACGAACCCCGGCGAAGCTTGCGCGAAGTTTTCTCGAGACTCAAAGCCGCCTGCACCGCTGCTCAAAGCGCTGCTCCTGCTCCTCGTCATCAGCAAACATACTCTCCTGCCCGATCCAATACGACCGTCCGAGCCGTTTACCAAGCCGCATGAGAGCACCAAGTGATTGATGGGGACTGCTCTACCAGGCACTTAATCGAAAAGGATGCACAAGGCACCTCCAGCACGACTGTTTGGCGAGTTGAACTGGACGCTCTTTGAACTTAAGGCCAACCCACGCGTCACATCTGGCCCTTTGGCAGTGGTCGGCAATATACCCCACAACTCACCCAGGCCGTGCCATCCAAGCAGCATGTGGGCCCTTTCAGGCCGCACATGGTACAGAATTGCTAGCCTACTATGTTTCATAGTTTTGCGCACATGCGTCTTCCTTCCACATGAGCACGAAGGCATCCGGACAAATAAGCAGGAAAGCAAGCTCTTTGAGCAACCAGCTTTTGAACAAGAAGGCGGTATGTGGCCTGGCACATGTTCTGTGCGACATATGATGATTCTTCAAAAGTCTCAGAAGAAATGGACTCTATCGAGCCGAATCACGCACTCCCCCTGGGAAGCTGCAGGTTGCGCTGAGCAGGAGTTGCCAATGAAGACAAAGGCATGGCAGTGGAGAGGCAGGCACTTGTCGAGTGGAATCAAAAACAATCCGCGGCAGAAGGGCAGCACCACGCACTCCGACTGAAAATGACCCAAGTTGCCGTTCACAGCCGAAAACAATGCATCCCCACGCAAACACCGGTCAAAAAGGCCAGCATGCATGCATAAAGCATTTGTTTTAAGCACTCGCTTGGATGTACGACCATCAACAAAATTCAGACTAATCAACTCCTTCACTTCCACAATACATGCCCTCATCAGTGCAACATCGCATCTCCGCTTCAGGTTTGTTTCGCAAACTGGATCGTGGCAGGGTGCATGGCAACCTCATCAGGCGAACCCATAGAGGTACCCCGGCAGCAAGGCGCTCATGAGAGACTCGCAAGGGTACCAATGAAGTCTGGGGAGAGTCATAAAGGATTCTTTCAAAAGGATGTGTCTCCGGCAGTGTCCCTTGCGTGCAATGCCGGGATGGAAGAAGCGGCATATGAAAACAAATGAAGCCAAAATGTTTTCTCTGAACATAATGCGACTTGGTCTGGCTGTCTGCCTGCTCAGCGTTCCATCTCACCTCAGGTCCACTGAAGCCATCGGAAAGAGAACTCCTAAAGGCGCAAATCAAGAACAAACTCCCATTCTGAATGATCTTGCGGGTGGTTTCCGAATCCAGGGCGCATTGAATGAGTGTAACATGTTTTGCAAAGGCGGCAAAGACCTAGAACAAATCCGGGGAACTTGGACGTCATGTGCATTCTTCCTTCGGGCAAACTGTTGTGTGTTCTAGTCAGTCCCAGTGTCAATGGTGCCCGGAGCAACCACCTGCAGCCAGCTTGGTAAAACACTCGTTTATGAGAACTACCAAAACAAAATCAAAGGAACAACCTCGCAAAGACTTTCACAGCACTGGGGCAAGCATTTGAATTGCAGCATGGATTAAAGTGGATCGGAACTCGGGCGGGCTAGCTAATCCTATGCTTCACACAAGAGAACCCGACTTTTGGGCAAAGATTGACCAAAGCGGCACAAGTCGACAGTCAACCAGCTTGCCAGAATTGCCCCTTTAAGCTTCAGAAGCCGACTGATAGTGGCCGAGACAGGCAGCGCGAAGCGTATACAATAACTTCCCGATGGTCGACTCTAGTAGTTTCCCTTGATTCTGGTAAACGAAATCACCGAGAGGACCGGCACGCCTTTCACTTGGCTTCCCCGGCCGGCAACCGAAGCCCACAAATCCCGCCTGGCCCTCTCTGAGGCCCGGTCGGCCCGGGCAGACTTCCATGCCATGTCCAAACCGAAAGGCGTTTTCAAGGGAACCGCCTGTTGGCTTTGCTCCGATTGAAGTGCGATGAGCTTTGGGCTGAATGACGTTCTCACCAAGACGTTGCGGATTTTAATAAACTACCAGAGGTCTCTTGCTCCGAATGTGGTTGTTTCAATTCATGCTTGTGGTTTGGTCTGGACAAAGTGGCATAGGCATGCTGCAGTTCACGAACCCTTCTTGGAGAAGAATCCGATGTCAAAAGTGGCCCGCTTCTGCGAGTCTGTGCAACAAAGTCCTTGGGAGGCTCAATACCAAACGGTGCTTAGCTTCCGAAGATAAAGCGCGCAATTATCAAACCGGCGTCTGGCCAAAGCCTTTCTCGGTGCAAACGATTGCTTGGATGCCGGACATGGCTCCCTCCATTTAAGGCAGCTCATGTGTTGCAAACTTAGCTGAGGTCGGCGAAGAAAGCGCGCTCCCACCATGCCAAGATCAAAGACAACTGCTGGGACTCCGTGGAGTTTTCCGCCAACGTCAAATGAACAGGCCAGAGAAATGACGAGCACGAGGCCGACATGTTGAAAACCGCCACTCCCAACGCAGATCGACAAATCTCGGTCTTCTCGCAGCCAACAACAAGGCGTGTTGCCTAGGCATCCAATAAGCAAAGCCACACAGTCGTTTTTCTCGGTACAAGTACTAAACCAAAAACACCCAAAGTACAGGCGAGTGTTTATGTTGCGTGGTTCGTGCAGTATGTGCCCCGGATTTCAGGCAGTGTGTGACCGTATGTTGCAAGCATTGCATTGCAAGGAGTGTGATCACCGGAATTCTACAGCAGCATGATGCGATACAATGGCTTTGAACTTACACCAAAAAACGACCAGCATGAAGTGACTCTCGGGTAGCATCATGTGGAGCCAACCTTGAACACCGAATAGATAAGCGATCCCCCAAATGATATTCCCAGTCACCTATGATGAGATAGTTCCGTAAAATGCCCTCACCAAATTGGTTTGGGTATCATTAATCAACATGATCGACAGCTCATGTATATCTGTCATATCATGGACCTGTGAAACCTCAACCTGACTGCACCCAAAGAATCCAGCGGTATGGCAGAGCCCAACCCCCCTCCCGCTGGTCAGTGTGGGTCACGGCAGGTCTGTGAGGGAGTCGAGGTCCAGGCGAGGGCCAAGTTTCAGCCCACCTTCGGTCTGATGGTGAGAGAAGGGCCGAGCAGGACACCACTCCATCCACACAAGTGGCGGTGTGCGTACCAAAATGGCACCTTGGTAAATGGAACCAAAGACTAAAACCAGCCGTTTGCCCTAGCTGTTTAATTTTGAGCCACACAAGTCCACACTCAAGTGGAAAGATCCAAGTCTTGCCTGGCAGCCACTACATCAAGGGAGCATTTGGCCAGGCCCTTCTTGAACGAGAATGCGGCATCTCAATACTGCATCTAGTGTGAATCTGAGATCGTGATGCTTCTCTTTGCCTGGGATCCGCGTAATAATTCACGGAGCCCTTTCCCGAGCAAGCAGCAGCCCTTTTCTGAGGCCCAAGTCCAAAAACAGAGCGGTATCCATATTCTGCCTCTAAGTCCACTCCGCCTTTTTTGCCTAGGCATTTGGGAACAGGAATCCGAATCAACCCTGAGATGTGTGTGCGTGTTAGTCCCAAGCAGAAGATGTCAAGTGAAGAAACAGCCACTGCGCATCAACAAGTTGTTGAGATGCATTGCCGATAAGGCAAGCAAGAGAACAGCTAAGCTACACTGAGTGCCTATGATACCCAAAAGGGTACTCGGTCGCTTTGTCACAAGTAAGACAGCCATTACAACTTGACCGCGAACCGGAAACAACTCTAGGAGGCGGTACGCCAATCAATGCAAACCCGAGTCGGAGCTGAGACTGTATGTGAAACTGCCTGCCCAGCCTGCCCTACACTGAAGTTCCAATGATCAGCACAGTTCAGGTTAGCAAAGATTGCCAAGTTGAAAAGTAGCATGTTTAGGCAGACTTCTCTGCAATACTTGAAACCAAGGGTTGTTAGGAGGGGAACCGCACCTTTTCCCCGGGCCTGTGTACCCCTTCTTGAAGCCCACATATGTGATGTCCTGGCCCAAACGAGCAGCTGCGCAGTGATCGCTGTTCCAGGGAATCTCCCTTCGAAAGCACCCAGGCTCTAGGCCCACTAGGGAATGTTAAACCCGGATTATTCAACCCCTGGTTGATTCATACGGGTGCCCCCTTTTAGTGGGGACTCATTGCTTTTGGAGGGAACACCCCCCTAATACTGAGACGGGTTTATTAATCCTGGGTCAACATTAATTGGGCACCATCGGCCGCGAAAGGAAGCACTAGCGAACAGGTCCAAGATCTTCCAGTCCCATCTCCGACTCATCAAACTTTTCAAGCAGAACATAGTCTCTTCCCGGCAGGTCTCCGCAGAACCAAATGTGTACCGACAAAACTGGCGTGTTTAGAGAATCTTTAACCCTGAATTGAAATCGCGATTTGAGTGCTTCACAATAAGTGTCTAGTATGACGCAACTGCGTTCCTTGCCATTTGTATGCGGTTGTTCAAGAGATCAGACAAGGTGTTGCTGTTGTTCAGGTCAGGTGCAAGGAAGTTGTGCCATGGATTATTTGTTGCAAAGGATCCAAACACGAACCATTTGTTGTGAGTCTTTAGGGAGTCATGTGGGTGCCGTGTAGTGCCTAGCTTGAAGCTGTGGACGCTGTACTCTGCGCGCCGCTTTCAGGAATCTGTCGGTCTTTGGAAGGCAAATTGGCCGCAAACAACACGCCCACAGACTTGGCCGACAAGTCACACGCACACACAGTGATTTCTTTTGCCTGCGTGGGATCCTCAAGTTGGGGTCCATAGCCTGAAATCCGCTATTTTCAGCCACCACGGAGATTCCAGCTCACAAGTCTTCAGAGTTCCTTTTGCACCTTTTGCTCGCAAAAGTGTGCCGTGCGCTGCCCGTCCTTTCTATCCACGAAGTCTTGCACGCCAAGGGAGATGATCATCCGCTGGCCCTGCAGGGAGATGCCCAAGACCTCAAGCCGACACCAACGAGCCCGTCAGGCAAGAACGAGCCATGCGAGTCATAATCAAAACCCGGTATCAAAATGGTCTACCCAGAACCACGTAGAGAATTAAGAAGGCGGCCGCAACAATTTATGGTTGGGATTGTCCCTTACTAACGTTCATCTACACGGGTGTTGATTGTGGCTCATGTCTATGTGCCCGCTATTGCTTGCAAAGGCGTCGGGTGTCTGGGTCACTGGGAATCCGCGGCACTTGCTTGCTGGCTATGAGGACATGAGTCAACTAGATGTGCACCAAAACTAAAGACCCTTTGCTGATCCTTGTTGCAGCGCATTGTGACACTCATCTGAAGGGGGCCCTAGTCGTGACAAACAGTCATGCGAACATACTAGGCGAGCATTTACGCGGAAAGTCAAGCACGCCTGGCAGGCTTGCTTCCACAACCCATTCCAACAACAGTACGCGCAAGGGATCACGGGTGACACGTGTAGCTCCAGGCTCTTGGAATTAGCAATGATGATTCAAGTCCTCCCTCTTTTTTGAAAGAATAAAGTGGTTGGTGGCATGCCCCTCACCTCTCCACCCCCTTGCTTGCCCCACAGCACGTGCAATTCCCACGCCGCGAAAAACTGCGGCTCCGCGCGTTGGACACGTGCTCAAGGCTTTTGCCCAGCTGTTCCATCGAGGTGGAAGAATGCCCGGCCTGCATTCCGGAGTCAGGCAGCAATGTGAGTCTGGTTGCAAAAGGCCAAAAAACTATGAGGCTATTTACAAGTGAAAATTGCGTGGCCATCAGAGACGGTCCCTCGTTGACTGGGCGATAATCTGACAGGAACCAACCATGGGGAGCCCTCATTCTAAGCGTACATCCATGAGATCCTTACCCCCAAAAGCCGGGCAAATCGCTGAGCAATCACATTTTCCTGTGGCATCCTGTAGCCGTGGGAGAATGATTTCTCTTCATTCAACGCCTGAGGAACACAAACCTAACTAACAGGTATGAACATGCGAGGATGCTTGGGGAATTCTTGCCAAACAACAGATATCCTCCAACTAGCAGTAATTGTGTCAGTTGCTCTTTGCACACTTGCAACCCTGCGCGCCTGGTGCTGCAGAGAAGTGATGGTCTCTTCCAGGCCTTGTTGCGAAAACGACCGAAACCTCCTGAACGGAGGGCTCATCTTGTGGGGAAAGGGCCGATTGGAGGCAAATACTCAGTTGGAGCTTGAACCATGCCTTGTCACTTCCCATTCGCAAGTGCGAACTGGGCTTAGAGCTGAACTGTCCAGATGCAAACAGCTACTGGGGTTGGAAAGCTGCGGCCGGTTCAAAGTTTTGCCAAAAAAAGGCTGGCAGGGTTGGTGAAAGATCATGTGGAATTCCTTGCCGCAATCCAGCTAGCCAGCAAACAGCAACATGGGCAGCCAAGGCCCATGTTCTGAGGCTTCAAGCCCATCTTGTCCCGCTTCCGCTTGGTATCGAGGCTCTCTATGTCCAAGCGGACCTGCTCGCGCTGGGCAAACTAGTACTTTCCTTGCGAATGAGCTCGCACATACCAGTTCGCAGCAACTTCATGACTCCACCCCCCAGTCATTTGCAAAGGTCAGCCGGTGCTATGGGTGCTCGAGCACAGCCCAAATGTATGCCAATGCCTTCCAAGGCTTGAATTTATGCTAGAATCCGCTAGAAACCTGTAAAATACTAAATCTCTTGGCATTTCAAGCTGTTGTTACAAGCACACCGCCAAACGCCCCCAGGTTTGCGCGACCCAGGCATCCAATCCCCGGAGCTTCGCCTCGCGGAGCGAGGCTTCGAGGTGCCGACCGCTGGAGTGTAGCGACTCTTGCAGGGTCGACAGCGAGGCCTGGCGAGCCGCGGGCGCGTGGGTGCGTCAGGTGCCTTTGGGCCATTTGGGATCTGATCATCCCCAAAAAGCAAACGTTGATTCACATAGGTCGACTTTGGTCACCTGATCCTATGGTGGCAGGTCAGAATTGAGGCTCTGCCTTAACCGCTTAGCAACCCTTGGGTTTCTTCACCAGCCTGATATGAGAGACCTCTAAGGAAGGAGTCATGGGTGGAATGGGTCATATCTCCCAGCTGTTCGCTCGTGTGAATGCCTTGATGCTTGTAAGTTTTAACGATCAAAAACACGCTGCGGATCCAAAATAGGCAACTGCTGCTTGAGATCACCAGCCATGGCTATGAGACCCCATGCTCGCATTGGCCATGCCAACGGCTTGCCAAACAATAAAACCTGCCAATCAACAGCTCCCAGTGTATTGGATCGATCTTCAGTGACCTTGAAGGAGATCAACAGCCTTCAGGTCTGAGGACTCCACGCGTCTTCAAGAAGGTCTGAGACGCGCTTCAGCACAAGACAATCTGGGAGTGGCACCTCCGTCTCTTTCAGGAAGACCTGAACGTCCTGCATTCCGTTAGAGCACGTCTCTGGCACACAGCTGTGAGAAACATGTGTATTCTCATGGATGTGGATCAAGTTGTATGCCAGCAAACAAAAACCGCACACCATCCTCAAGGCTCCATCTCATCGGAAGCGACTCAACATGTCTTCCACTCACGCACGAATCGTACACGAGATCGCGCAGGGAGTTGGCTCCTGATGAAGACTGGCCAGTTCCCTCACCTCATTGCTGAAGGAGCCACGAACCTCATGCCTCAGCCGGAGCTGCAATGATCAGAACAGCGATGTGTTTTCCGCGCTTGCCTTATGACAGAGGATGCTCTAAAATCCAAGCACCTTGTTTCGAAGGCCTGGGCCTTTTTTTTGTACCCCACGGTTTGACAAAGTGCTTCTGGGGGAGAGGCCTCAAACTCTTTCAATTGCACATGGCAAGAAGCTGCAGGAGGATTCTCCAATGGAAGGGAATGCTCAGACTCAAGACGATAGCATGGCCTCATCATCGCTTTCCCAGGCGACCACTGCCAGTCTGCAGCAAAACTTGTTGATGCCACTACAGATCTCAAAGTGGCGGCCCTGCACCAAGTGAAGGTGCAAACAAGCCGAACAACTAATCCTCCAACAAAGTGCCAAATGACCCTGTCAGTTTACAGCATTTCCCGAGCCGCGCGTCTGTACAAGTCTTGTACTGCTTGCCTGGGTCGCTTGTTCGACAACGCAAGCCGGCGAAAAGATGCGAGGTTCACGACCTGGCTCAAGAAATCCGCCATGGTCCATTAGCTGCATTATGCTCATATATTCTCTGGGCGCTGCAAGTTCTATACACCGAACTGGATTCGGTGAAGGACGCGAGCATGGGTTGGGGGATCCTTGGCCACCTCAAATGGAAACCTCCGGACTTTGATCTTGGGGCAGACCAACCCTGGCATCCACCCTTCAACGTAGTCAAGCCGGAGTGTCGGGTGCCCCCGCAGTAAATTGGCGGAGTACGCGGCCATGAGATTGGCCGTCCTTTTGATCTCAGCCTTTAGATCCTCACAAAGGCTAGACGAATATACTGCCAAAGGTCCTGGATGGCGGCCTGGCATATGGTTTGGTCCAGGGGTGCCTTCAGAAGTTCTAGTTGTTTCTGTATGTGTCCCACCAAGACAGAGTTTGATAGAGAGTGCGCAAATCCTGAGGAAAACAGCATCATAGAGGAGGCTATCATAGGCTATCCTTGCATACGGCTCAGATAAACCTCACAGCAAGAAACAAGAAACAAAGCCATCTGCAGGTCACTGCCATTGTGCATGGCCTTGCTTGAGCCCGGGTTGAGCAATGTACCGTTGAAGTCCATTCTGGCTACAAATGATTGGTTCGCAAACGTCGTGTTGCCTTCTCACCGGGCTGCATAGGAAATATATGATTGTTTGTTCCCTAGTGAGCATCAAATAAAGAACAATCTGCGATGGTTGCTCGCTTGCGTTTTAGCCTTCGGCCTGCAACTAGTGCCACATTCTTCGCCTTTCCGCATTCTTTCACTCCTCACCCCTGTAAGCAACCAACAAAAAACGGGAGAAGCAGCGCCCCCCATCGCATCCATCGCGCCGCCCGCCCATCGCGCCGCCCGTGTCCTGGTTCACCTTGTTCACCCGGTCCGAGATCTCCGTGGTGGTGTCGGTGAGCTCCGTGAGGTGCACGCCGTGACCCTCTTGGATCTCCGTGATCTGAGCGACTCGACTCAACCCACTGCGAACACCAAGCAGCTTGTTTTCTTGGGCCCCCCGACTAACAGCGACTAAAGAAAGGTGCATGAGAAAATATCTGGCTTCTTGGGGTCAGGAGATGCCAGCCCATGTTCAGACCTGTATATTTGCGGTTTGCACCGTCACGCGCGGGCACCGTTCCAGCCTTTCTCCGACTCAGACTTGTTGCTTCAGCCAGATTCCCGCTGAGATATCCCAACACCCGCCGGTACACCGAGGTGAAAGTACATGGAACAATCCCCACCCCGCACCCCTGTCTGCCTTGTTGATTCCCCCTCAAAACAGGGAAATAGAAGGTGGGCAAGCCTTGAACGACAAAGACAGAGTTTTGAAGCGCAACGAGTGTAAATGTAAATGTGTTGTCACTGACGTTTGGCAGAATGAGCGAATAGAGTGAATTACTCACTAGCCAAGTTGGGTCGTCCCCCCGACCTCAACTGTCCGTGTTTAGTACAGGCAATCTTAGTGGTGGTTGGCCTTAAGCACGTCTAGAGTGTCTAGCCTCCAAGTATAGCCATGGCCTCCGTCAGAATACAAACTGCAACACCACGAAGATAAAACGAACAAATCGGCGGCACCTGCCATTCCAGAACGCTCGAAACCCACGAAATGAAGGCTGTTTCTGGCCAACACTGTAGCACTGGCAGGCTGTTGTAGTGAGCAGTACTACTAAAAGTGCCAGAAACCGAGCTGAATCACGAATCAGTGCTTACTCAGTGCATGCGGGGGGATGTAATAGCCGCCAAGCCTCTTCGTAACCCGAGATGTTTGATGCAAGCAAACTCGCTGACTTTTGGTTTACTATGTCGTGGCCCGGGCAATGACTTGTTTGTAGCCGCTCACATGTCCGTGTCTGTACTTGTCTCATCCTGCCGGAAATCCAGCTCTTGGGTGTGTGTGTGTGTGTGTTTTTTTCCCGGAGGGTAGGCTTTCAAAGGTTGGTTTGAAGGGAAGCCAACAGGGAGACCACAACTCTTGGGCTCCCAAAGTTTGACGCATGGCTATGGGTCAAGACCCTGTACCCCTGGTGAACATCAAAATAGGTGGTACATGGTGTTCATCCGCCCCAAAATGGCTCGCCATAGGTTGTGACCCATGGCCGCATCTCCTCCTCTTCCCAGCCCCATGGAGCCACCCCTCCAATCTCTCGCGCCCTCTTCACGTGCGCGTCCAGCAAGCGCAGCTCCCGCAGCTCCGTCAGGACCTGGCAGTTCCGTCGAGCGCGCGGTCTTCAGGAGCCCTTTTTGGGGCTACCCAAAGGGACACCACCCATTTTTGGGGTCCCCCTATTCTGACAAAGGGAACACTACCAATAACGGAACCCAAGGGGACACGGCACCCAACTCTGACAAATAGCCCACCCAAACAGGGTTACACTAATTCTCGGGTTGCGGGGTCCCATTTTGTGGGGGTTACACTACCCATTTCTTGGGTCCCCTTCTGACAAATACCCAAGGGGAAGCTGGCTTTAAACTGCCCCCGTGCCACCAAACGGAATTCTCAAAGAAGCATGGCCAACGCAGCCTGCAAGCAACATTCCATTGACCAAATATGTTCGGCAGGCAAGACATGCACAATCTCTGTCTTTCCCAAAATATTGGCACCAGTTCGCACGCCACTTTCTGAGCTAGCCTCTTTGATGGTCTTCTCAAGCTGCCGCGTCTGCAAGTCTAGGCCTGCAGCTGCAGTGGAATCAACTTGGTGATGAGGCCCCCCGCATGTTCAGTTCCCATGTTTTCGGTGGCCACACGGGGATCGGGGACTGATCATGTCTAGCGAAGCCTCCAAAAACCATGCTGGGACGGCCCGTGACGCTACATAATTTCCTTGAAGCCCCCCATATTAGTCTGATGCCCATGTTGAATGAAACAACACACGCACGGTGCATGGCGCATTTGAAGCCTTTGAAGCGCATATTTGTGAGAAGTTTATCCTGCAACACAATGAGCAATGATGTTGTACACATACTGCTAGTTGGCGACTGCTGTATGATGCACCCATCAACCTTTGGCCAACCTTGGTACAACTCCTATTCGGCTGTGCGGCTTTTGAAGGAAGCCAAAGCAGAGACAATACTCACGAGCCCACAGGGTCTTCAATTCATCAAATGGCAATCGTAAATGGGGGGTGCCTCTTTTGGGGGGTTCCCTTTGTTTTCTGGTTTTGAAGGAAACCAACAGGAAAACCGACGCCATGTTGAAAGGTCCAACCTGCAAAAAAGGACGCACCCAGAAGCCGGGGGCTCAGGGAACTGAGCCGCTTGAGCCCGCTGCGCCGCAGGCTGGGAGGTGAGAACTCGGTCACTTCCTGGCAAATGGGAAACCTCCATTTGCTTAGGTCCCTTGGGAAAAAATATATAATTTCCAGTAGTGATAAATTCCCTTTATAACCAACAGGGGAAAATATAAAATATTCTTAACCGAATGGAAGGAGATCTCACTCGTTCACGTTTCTCTCATCCAAAGGTCTCCCATCATGGAGGCCCACAGGAGGCCTCCAGAAGACGACTTTCATTTGGAGAAGCCCTCTGTCCACTTCCACGGTTGGAGGAGAAAGGGTAGAAAAAGTAGATTGGTCATCACCATACCAGCTCTGACAATGTTGATGCCAGGGCTGGAAATGGTAGGAACTGGGAACTTAAAGCCTCCATTTGAAGTGGGCACACGGCCCCGGCAGTCTGCACGGCAAGCGGCTGGGCCGCAGCTACATTCACATCCTGGGAGAGATTCCTTCCCAGAAGCTACAAAGACACCATGCTCTTTCCAATGCTGCTGATCCTTTCGGAAAGAATATGGGGGTACCAGGCGGCAGCCTCTTGTGTTTGCTTAGAATGTTCCATGCGATGCCTCAATTCCAGCGGAACATACTCCTGGCAGTAGTCCGAAGCTGAGATCAACATCAGACAATCTTGGAATGGTTCCTTTAGTTCGAGGAAATGCCGAAACGAATAGATATAACTTACACGGCACCCAATCAACACAACCTCAGGCTCCGCACGTTCGATCCAGATTTCCCTCCAAACACGAGAGCGATAGGTCTTTCACGGCAGAAACGTCTCATCAAACAGGGCCCTCAGGAGGTAAACGGACGGCACCTGCGACCTCCCTCGGCTGCTCGGCTGCTCGACCGCTCGCGCCTCGGGGCCCCAGATCTCTTCCGACAGGGCCTTGTGCATCTCCTGCCATCGGTCCAGTGGAGGGGCCGTCGGTCATCGGCTTTGAATCAAAGCTCTTTTCCATCCAGAGTCAAACCTTTCCAAAGACGTCAGAGGGCATGAGATGATCCACTTCTCAAAGTGATTTTCTTACAAGGCCGGCCTTCTGAATAGCTTGCCACAAACACCTGTCATTATGGACATGGGGTAAGACTCGGGGGAGGGGGGGCGTGGAGGAAGCCGCTGAAGGTGCCCGAACCCTGCGATTGGCCAGAGCTCGCTATCAGAGCATTCCCATCTAAGCCGCTGCGAAAATGAAAAGTAACATCAAGATCCAAGCAAGGGACCCCCTGTTCAGCTGCTCTAGCACCCGATGCAGCAGGCATTTATGCGCACGGCACGGAACTGTGCCTTGACCTGGTCGATGCTGAGCCTCGCTCGGAGGTTGCATTTTCCGAGGGAACAGACAGCGGTTTCACACCCCATGTGTCTTTGGTAGTGGTTTGCGGGGTGAAAATGACCTTGAAAAGTCTACCTCTCATTCAACTGCCTGAAGCTACCAAGACAAGGATTATTCATCAGGCATTGCTGTGATTCATCCGGATATACTTTTGGTACGTTTGGTGGTGTGGACAGATTCATGCATTGAGTCATGTTTTCCTACAGACGGAACGAAACAAATCAAGAATACTCGGGCGAACACTGCTTGGTCGTGAACTCCCCATTGCCCACAAGGTCTGCCGGTACCCCTCACATAGAAGACATGCGCTAGGCACAATGTCCTCCGTACCGAATTCAGATTTCTGTTGGAGCTGCGTTCATACCACCAGAATTAGTGCGGTCAAGAAGCTCAAGCCGCTTTGTCTCTGAGTCCAGGTATTCCTCAAGACACCAGAACTCGCATATCCCGTAGCCACAACACCTCTGCGCACATATAGCGCAATAGGGGCCTCGTCGAGACAAAAAGTCTTGTACAAGCTCACAAGCTACCAGAAATCATGGGGAGTTGAGGCCCAACGAGGTCAAATCCAGCCGACTCGCTGTGCAACTGCAGGCTCTCCTTGTTCTTCTTCACTCCCATATCAAGATTGGTCTGCATCTTGAAGAGGTCCGTCCGCAGGTGGTCAGTGTCCTGTTGGACAGACCATGAGATCCGTCTACACTCAAACACAAGAGACTCTGAGCTCCTCCTGTGACCTCATGATCTGCTTGTTCAGTCGTTCGGTGGTGGAGGTGAGCGTCCTCGCCAGCGGAAACGCTGCGCGGTTCCGCAACATTGTCACCCAAGGCATCGGCTTGCAGTCGTGGTTGCACTGCTCAACCTCAGTCATCAACAGCTGCCCAAATTGCGCCATGTGTTCATAAAGAGGTCTCTGGCCCTTTTGTGCTTGCGCTGCTGGTAGAATTATGCGCTTGATCTGCTAGTGCAACCATCGTATTCCCCGTGTTTCGCCTAGATCTCACATTGACTGACCCGAACAAGTAATGTCCACCTTGGATGCATCCAGAGGACCGTACTATTCAGGGTGGTTTCTCTTTTAGTAAGGATATGATCTATTTTAGGGGTTCCTCTGATGGGTGGTCCTCCGGATTAATCCAAAGCTCATATTGGAGAATCCAGAGCAAGACAAACGCATTCTGGCTAGATCGGAGTCATAGCCCCGACCAACCTCAATCTGGTTCATGGGGAGTCCATCACGTATCTTGCTCTTAACAACTTCGCTTGCCCTTTCAACTGTCTTGTGGCTAGCGGAGGAAAAGCAAAGCCTTTTCAGCTGCCCAAGTTTCGTGGAAACGAACTGCAACAGAAAGGAACAACGGGTGAAACTGAACCACCGAGCAGGACGGAATAGCCAACACGGGGACAAAGCGCCCGCACTTCCTGTGATTCTTTGTTAGTTGACATCCCGAGAAAAGTCCCCTCAGGTGTCTCAAACAGATCATCTCAATCCAAAAACCGAACATGCAACCCGCGACACCCACAGGATGTTTTGCTTTGCTCGCCCACTCGTGACAAAGGAATGCAGCTCGTGCGGAACGCAAGGTTTTGCCACTATCTCGTTCTACCTCGCTGATGTCAACATGATGTCAACCCTAAACACCTTCTCAATGGATCTTCTGTTGGCTTCGGAAAGTCCAATTGGAATGATTGAATCGAAGGTCCCCTGTCTTTGCAATAGATTGGCCTGGCCTGCTTTTTGCCCAACAGCTGCGCCGCTTGCCCCAAGTGTCCTCTCTACTTACGCCTCTTCCGATTTCGCTGCGCATCGTGGGCTACAACTGCGAAACATCGGCTGGGAGCCAGGCATTCGCCAGAACTTCGCGAATGTGATTTGCCAGCTTCAACTGGCCAATAAATCAAATGTGCGGTGAGTAGTCCATGGTGTGGCTGTCTGATGAATCGGCTCAACTGACCAACTGACCGCTCGTTGCTTCAGCAGCGACGCCATCAGCATCCTAAGCGGTGCCTATAAATACCCTGAAGGCTTCTAATCAGAAACCCACAGAAGCTCTGTCGCTCAACAGCGCACTGCTCCAATCATCTGCAAAACCAAAGCTGAATTGCCAAAGTCACCTCTGAAATCTCGCTTGTTTTGCCCCAGCGTCATGCGACAACGACGACAATGGCCACGAAGACCGCAACGACAACGACAACACGGGCGACAGCCATGACGATGGCCAGGACCACGACCACGACAACCACAGCGACCATGACAACGACAACAGCAGCGGCAACGACCACCACCACCACCACCGCCACCACCACCAACACGCACACCAACACGACCACGACCGGACCACAACGACTACGAAAGCAACCACAACTGCATCCACAAAGGAGGAGGAGGAGGAGGAGGAGGAGGAGGAGGAGGAGGAGGAGGAGCACCAGCAGGATCTCTGAAGAGGACATTAATATGTTGACTGCCTGGTTGAAAACAACATGGAAGGCGAACCCAACAGCAAGTGGCCCCCGCCTCCAAGTCCTTCTGACTGCCCCAGAAATCGTCCAACTGCTTCCTTTGGTCGTGACGCAAGCGAGCGGACCAACGACAGCGTGAGTGCTGCCGCAGGCAAAATTTCGAGGCATTGTTGACTGGCAGAGTGCTTGTGGAAACACCTGTATTCAGCCCCTTTAACGCAAGTGGGCAAGGGCGTTGTTAGTGGTCCTCATGTCTGGGGGGGGGGGGGGGCGGGGGGCGGCTGTGCCGCACAAAGCTCTTGGCTGGTGCAATTTGGGATAAGAGTCGATGGGCTGGCGGAGAAGAAGAGCTTCCCACCCGTGCGGGCCACCATAAGACCTGCTTGCCCATTCAACATTGTCCTTCGGAATCAAACTAGACATGGCAACATTGTTGGATATGTTCCTTGGCGGTTCCGTTAGTAACCAGCAGAATGAACGAGGACAATGCTGCTTTTCTGTGGCTCTTAGCAGGGCACACTGCTGCAGCATCCCCCCAAACTCGGCCATTTCTTTGGCCAGGCCACTTGAACTCGCCCACCAGGCCCAGCTTGTCCTTGGGAATCATTGGGAGATGCGCCAACCCGCAGAACATCCTTCCTGCAAAGGAAGCTGACAGGTTTTGGATTGGGAAGACTTTGCTCCCTCAGAGCTGTGGCGATGCAACGGAAAAGATGGCCGGCGTGGCGTGATGCAACAACATTTGTGCTCTAAATTGTCCTGAAAGCTCAGTGCTCAACTTGGATGCGCAACATGAACCCCAGCGAGCTATGTGTCTGGACATATTATAATATGACCGCTGGGCTGGAGGCATCTCCGTCCAACTGTTCTTCCAACCCCCCCTCAACAAAACTAATGCAAGCCCTCCCATTGCATGACCTGAGCCCGTGGTAGGTGTGGGCATCCACTGCTTGCAGACTGACGTATTCGCTTGGGGGCCCCGGCCATTGCCTTGTGCACGTCCTTGGCCATCATGGTCCTTGCACGATGCCCGGAAGGCTTCAGAGGGGAAGTGGCGCCAGGGGAGGTGGACAAAACCTTCTAAGGGTTGTTGTACTACACCCTGGGATTAGTCTCACGTTGTGTGAGTTGAACTATCCAAACTCAGCACTAAGGCGGTGGGTGAACGGGGGGTGGGGAGTTAGCCCCGCTATCAATGACGGCTTGTTTTCAGGCGGAATCTATCCACTTTAAGATCGCGCACAGCTCCCATGGCGAAACACTATCTTCTTGCCACCGCCTGAATTCGCAAACGCAGCTAGTATGGATGATGCTGATCTCAAAATAGATCGAGTGTGTGCGTGTGGGCATGCGGCACGCAACGTTTATGCTGCGCAAACAAAAAACAAAGGTTCAGGTTTAACGGCTTTTTTTCAGAAAGTGGGAAATTGCCCATGCGAGGAAAAGCATTCCTCACATGTTGATTCGCTCTTCGTGCAAACATCACGAAAACATCCTCCCACCCCACCCCCGGAAACCCCCCGCCTCCGGGAAAGGTTGCATGCTGATCCGGCGAGGGTTAGGTTAGCTGCAGAATGGATGGAAAAGCACAAAATAGGTTTCACGGTGTTTCATGCTACAAACAAGTCTGGCTCTTTTAGGCAGGGCGGACATCCCCTCCCGTTGACGCAATGTGGTGCAGGACGCAAGCAATTCTCCCACTGAGTACTCAACCTACACGCAAGAAGCAAAGAAGACATGGGCAACTTGATTTGCACCAGAAAGCTGGGAACGTGGCGCCAAACCGCTGGGGTCCGCGCAAGATACTGTGCTGGCTTTCTATTCTGGCCGACAAATGGTCGCCTGAGCTTTGCGACAGAAGCCAAGATGGGTGCCAAGACGCATGGAATTGCTCTTTCGTTCTCGAATCTACAAATTTGAACAAGATGAGTCATGAACCTCTTGCTGAGAACATTGGCCCAATCGGGAAGGCCGCTCCAATCACCTGCCCTTCAAACCCCGAGGGCGCTCAAACTCCAGCCCAGATCCAGTGAATCTTACCCATTTGCCAGAAAGGGAGCAGGGTACCCTCCCAACTAACATGGAAGCGCAAAAAGGCCCTTTCCAAGAGGAAAGTAGTCTTTCTACAGGGGTCTGTGTCTTTCCATGTTAGCTGGTGCGAGGGTATCAAAATTTGACAAGGGCAACGCAACCTGTGCAACTCTTAGCTCTGTTGGAACCGAACAGAAGCTGGGCACGGAGCAGTGGTTCTGCATCCGCACGGAGCGCTCCACAGTGGGAGCAACCACCTGCCCCCGATAAAGGAGGTACAAACAACACAGCTCGTTTAAACTCAAGCACCAACCATACACCTACCTGTTCGCAATCGGAGTGCATCAACAAAACTTGGCTTGCACGCGGGCCGCTATGTTGGAAGGCCGCTCCATATGCAATTCTTAAGGCCGTGGATTATTCGTAGAGTTGGCAACCAATCAACCGCTTGTGTCCACAGAGATGCGCCAAAGCTTCTGTTAAGACTGTTTGAGAAGGGTTACTACATCACCTTCATTTTATCAGGCAGCTAGTGTGTGGCTGCACAATGTGGCCTCTGGTGTTTCCCATGTTCAACTAAAACGCAAAGCTAGCAACAGTTTCTTGGGATGCACTCGACTTGCAATTGCCACTTGCACCTCTCCTCTTGCCGCTTTCACAGGACTTTGAAACTGTCAACTAGTCTATTCCACCTTTGAACTAGTGGAAGATACGGCATGTTAACAGCAATTCTGAGATTTGAGACCCAGTGCAGCCCAAACATCACCGAGAGGTCCTTAAGTTCGGCCATTGCTCCTGGCCAAAGCCCGCAGCTAAGAACCGCCCGAGCTTCTTGTTTGCGTGTGGAATGACCCCAAGACCTGGCGCAAACTCCTCCCAAAGGTCCCTCACAGGTTTGAGGCATCAGCTTGTGCTGGAGGTGGATTGTGATTTGTGTTTTAGGTGTCCTTTGTAAGGTACTTGTTGGGGACTGCGGTCACTCTGCCTCCAGGACCATCTCCCGAAGCTTGACCTGCCGGGATCGGTATCGCGTTGGCCTCACTGGTTTCGGGCCTCTGCAAGGAATCACGTCCTGCTGATCTCGGTGGTGACACGCAAGGGTTTGTTGCTACCAGGGCTTTCCTCTCCATTGCTCGAGCCACCTGATCTACCTGCCCCAGCCTCTAGCCGCGCATGTTTCACTTCCTCCTCCTGCCTGTCCTCAGCACGGGAATCCGCAAGCCACGATTCTCGCTTGTGGTGGCAAGGAGTGCGGAGAGCCAACTGTAGCCCTTGACTTAGGTTCAGTCTGATCTTGTGCCGCGTGGCGTGTCTCATGCGCTGGGCCGCGGGCCACAGACAGGTCGATCCGCGGCGCTTCCGCGAGCCTGCGAGATGGCTAAGGTCCTGGTGGCCTTCACCAAACTACACTTCTGAAGTATATCTTCGTATATATATATATATATTCATTGTATATATTAATATATATTAATATATAAGTAGCATGGGAGAACGAATTTTTGGCGATCCTCCAACTCTTGGCTCACATTCCAGAACCGGCACGGTTTTCTATTCGCTTAGGAACAATAAGGCGTCGCAACAATTCGATGTCCAAGGACTGCGCTACGGATAGCCATTCTTCGATGTGAACCGTGCTGCACGCATAAGCCCTGGATGCTTGGCTCGGGCAAGGGAAGGGGTTTCAAGTTGAGGGTTCGACTCCCTCTGGTTTTCTTGAGAATTCCCATGGCGGTTGGGGTTGTGGATGTTGTTTGCGCTTTCCATTCGCTGAAGAGAGCGTTGAGAAGCTCACTACCCTCCGCCGAACCTGGTAGTTCATGTCTGCAATCGCCTGGCCCTTCCAAAGAATGTCGGAGTTTGGCCTATTTTTGTCCGCGAACGGCCACAAGCTCAGCACAACCACTTCGAAGCGGCGAACACACACAAATGGCAGCAAAACAAAGAGGCTGCAAAAAACAACACAAAACCAGCAAAGACCCGGAGCTTGAATGCTCTGGAACTTCGCGGATGTCAGTGTCCAGCAAACCATTTTGTTCTGTCAAAGACATCTATGACAGGGAAACCTACTAGTCCCGTAGTTGATCTTGGATCCCGTGACAGATTCTAAACCCAAAAGCAGCAAGCCGCCCTGTGGTGGATCCCAAGAATCTCTTAGCGGAACTTGTGGGATCATATGCTGGACCACAAAATCCAAAGGATAAACGAGGGTGCGTCAGGATTGGGATCCAGAAAACTGACCTAGTGCAAAGCGAGTGGCAAGTCAGAGACGAATGTTGAGCACAAGCCTCACCCTGTTTCACTCCTTGATATGGCTGTGGGTCAGAAATAGGTACCCAAATGGAACCCTGGTAAGTGGAAACGTGGACTAAAACCCGCGGTGCCCTGGTGGTTTATTTTTGACCCATACCCATATTGGAAATGCAATTTCCCATTTCTCGTGATGCGTGACCGTCATGCGCAAATCCGGAGCTTGAGCTGCGCACAATGCCTGGAACTTGCCGTTTGCGATTGGATGACGACGTTCACGGAACCATGGACATGAGCGTGAATTCCAGTGTTGATTTGCACATCTGAATTCATGTGTTTGGAATTATGATTCCCGGTTACGTCAACATGTGTCCACTTCATCCTAATTGAAATTGATTAATTGCCAAAGAGTCTAGGGGACCTTCCCACATCAATTCGGAGCACCAGCTCAAGGTTGGGTGCTCACAGGGAACCATTCGAGACAGACCCAAGTAGCGTGCGAAAACACGCTCTTGATCCCCATCAAGTTCATGCCACCATGAAACCAAACGTGACCTGTGCGCAAACTTCTCCAACTCTTGATCCGAAGGCGCCCTTCCTCTTCCGCTCGCCCACTCGCCCACTCGCACTTCGCCTCTCTTCGGGCGGTCGGCTGGTGGCCGCTTGGTCCACGAAGGCCCCGCGCCGGTCCTCGGAGGAAGTCGACACCCAGAAAACGAATGCGCAAAACCTCGGGAACCGAGAAGCACTCTTATATGCTGCGATATGGCCATGGGTCCAAAATCCAAATCGTACCCCCAGTGAACATCCCAATCCCCACTAAAATAGACTAAAATGGGTGGCGCACCTACCCCAAAATGGTACCATGGGTTTTGACCCACAGCCATATGTTTCAACTTGGCCACCACCACCCCTTTGGGTGGTTTGTGCAAGGTGAGACAAAAGCCAAACCAGCCATCAATCATGAGGGTGGTGACTTCCAGCCTAACATGTGCCATAGCAAGCCATCGCTCCCTGAATCAATCAGAATTTGTCAAACGTCATTTGTCTTTTAGGGGACCGCGGCAGTGGAGTGAAAATATCTTGAAGCTTCGACCAGCCGTTCTGTCGTCGTTCCATCCAGATTTACAAATTGTCACGACATCCAACTGGAATACAAACATGTATTCAACATGTAGGGAGCCCTACACCCCAATGGCTGGTTAGTTTTTAAAATTGAGGAAATCTGACATCGAGTCGCCGTCATATCCGGAGGCCCTTGTTTTGAAAGCTGATGAGCAGAGCCGACAGCAGGGCACTAGCTTGGCATTTAAGCCAATGCCGTGTGCAAAATCTGCCATCCAGTTCAGTTTCACCCAACAGCCCGAGCCGCCCGCCAACACCTCCTCCGAGGGCCCAGGCCGCCATGAAGCACAGGGCAAACCCCTCGGCGGATGTCTCTGAGTGCCAAGAGAAAAACACCTTGTAGTGCCACCGAACAATCATTGTTGGGGCTGGAGAAGCGAAAAGCTCGAGCGCGAATCGCACACCCCTTAAATGCTCAAAGGCAAAATTCATGTCGTTTTGCCATGGCGTCACGGCCTTGAAATCTGATTCTGTTTAGCCCAGTCATCGCAATTGCGACAGCCAACACCGCCCCACAAAACCAGCCATGCCAAGCCACTGCCCCAGCGCTGCTGCTTGAAGCAACCGGCGGTCCAGCACTCCTGGGCCTCCTAGCGTTGGTGAATGGGTCTTGACCGTGCCATAGGCCTGGTGTATTCTGACACTACTCGCAAACTGCTGAGTTATCCAGACCTGATAGAGAGTCGATGTAACATAGCCCAACGTGGCACGAGTCACCAGTAAAGCCACCCAAAGTGCGTAAGAAGCTCCTTGACAGCTCATGCAAACCCTGCCGTTTCGAAGTGACCCTTCCCAAGTCTCTTGACCCCAGCCTGGAAATGAGCTTGGCTCGAGCCGCGAGAAATCTCAGGCCTGTGCAACTCGTAATGGGGCTGAAGCTGCATTTAATGCTTGCACTCGGCTGACAACAACCCATGCGACTCAACCAAGCTGAATGTTCTAGTAGCTAGCATGTCAAAAGCTTGGCAGGATGCAAAGGCTGATGTTGATAGGCTGGCCCTGGCAGCATGTTGCTTTGTTGCTGGACGAAGTTGAGGGGCCCTAATTGTTCTCCAGCTGGGCGGCGAAACGGCGACATCAATCGCACGGCTGAGTGCAGTTTTCGTGCAGCTGCAGACTAGGCAATGTGCATGTGCTAGAAACTTCTACAGGTGAACAACTACGTTGGTCAGGCTTGAGTCTCATGTTTGTGTGGGCGTGTTGAAACAAAATGTAAGCAATAGAACAGTGAAATGTTACTCTGCCACACATCTCCAAAACTCCTAAATATCTCAAGGATGTCTTATTTAAGAATCTTGTGTGACTTGTGTGATTGAATCATGCAGGCCCTTGTGACATGAGCTATGCGTCAATTCCGCGGAGGTTGATAGTCTTTGTCTTTAGCCCCAGTTCACACAAGGCACACCCATGGTCATACAGTTGGCGGGGCTGGGCTTGGGGTTGACTTGGGTCGCTTGGGGTTCAGGCTAATTTGTGCTAGTGCGGCTGGTTTAGAAGTGGCTTTCGGGTTGCTTTGGGGATGTGGTTGCGCGAGTGGGGCTAGTTTTGATTGTTTGGGGCAATGTTTCACAACCCATCCCAATCCACAAAACCTCGACCTAACCACACCCTAAGGCAACCTAAAGCCACTGCAAAAACTGGCCGCACCCCTACCGCAAATCAGCTCTAAGCCAACCCAAGCCAACCAAATGTGAACCCTAAACCTACCCGACAGCAAGCCGAATAAACCCCAAACAAACCCCTCAGTAAGATCTCACCCAGCAAGCCCAAAACTCACCCTAAACCAGCCCCAAGCAACTCTGAACTGCCACCAAATCAAACCAATAGCCAGCCCTAGGTCCGAGCGAGGCCGGTGATGCTAGGCATTCGACCGACCAACCAACCAATCAACCAACCGAACGACCAACCAAGCAACGGGCTAGAAAAGAATAGCAATAGAGTACCGCTTCCTCAATTCCTTTCCAGGCATGCACACTTGTTTCTCGTCGCATCTCTCTCACAACGCTTTGGCGTCACCGAGCATCTGCCGCGGCAAATTAGGGCAGGATGAGCTCGGAATGCCAACAAGCTTCTGCGACACCATGGCTGTTGTCAAAGCGCAACTCACAATAGCACAAGCCTTGCAACGGCTTCCTTCAGTTGAAGTTTGGGCGGCAACGAATGACTGGTCCAACCATAGCCGTTCATTACATACGATCAGGCAGTGTGCTAGCTGCTTTGAGTCAGCTGCAGATGTTGTACTTTTTGTGTGGCAGTCCTTGCGGTGCATTTGATTTGTACAAGGCCCGCATCACCCTCATGCCGCTGTCTTCACGGAGGTCAAGATCTGGCAGGATGGCAACGTGGCGAGTTGGGGGCATTAGGGGATCCAAGAGACCCCACCATGAGAACCTTGAAAGTGACCGATCAGGCGGAGACGTGGTCACAATCCAATAAGCTCATGTCAGAACCAATGAGTTGCTTGTCTCATTGCATGTTGTAGATATAACCCGTTTCACTTCCACTTAGGGTAGTCTTGTAGAGGGTTGCAACCCGTGACGGTTTTGCTTGTAGCATGAATTTGCAAATCTTACAATGATTCCAAAACCTGAAATAAGAATTGGATCCCAAAAACAAGGGTCTACTTGTTCATCAGGACTGTTGACACTGTTGTGCAAACATGCAAGCTTGTGTCCATCCGGGAGAATAAACCACACAGGCGCCAGTGCCAGCCTCCTCGTCGGAGGAGTCTTCCGAGTCGCTGGGAATGGCGTCGTCAATCTCAAGCTCCTGACGCAAATCGACGCTCGCATCCCCAGTGGAGGATCCCCAAGTGAAGGAGACAGGGGCTAAATTGCAATCCCCCACAAGTAAGCATAGAAATCGATCAGGGGCTAAATTTATCTTGGATCGCATCAGCAGTGTCAACCCTGGCCCCCGGGCACTTTGATACAAACTCATCGCAGAACTGAAGCGACAACCACCAAGACAAGTTCTGCTTGCCACGCACATCACAATCCTTCGGACTTGGGATCTGCTTGCATGCGCCGCATGGCAGGGCATGGTGGCATTCCGGAAGGTCCAATCTTTTTTGGCTGGCCCTGTGCTGCGGGGAAAAAGTCTGAGAATTGCTGCAACAACAGCAACAAGTAACCGAATAGCTCAAGCGAGATGTGTCCTAAACCATCCAATCGACAGCAACCAGGCATCGCAAAGCCAGCCAACTTGATCTTATGAGGAGGAGCAGGAGAAGAACTGTGCTGACGATGATGATGAGAATGAGGAGAATGATGACGAGGATGACAATGACGAGATTGCAATCATGAAGTGGTGATGATGATGGCGGTGAAGACGACGATGATGATGATGATGATGATGATGACCCTAAACCCTAAACCCTGAACCCAAAACCCTAAACCCTAAAATAATCATCATCCTCATCCTCATCCTCAACCTCATCCTCATCCGCATCCTCATCCTCATCATCATCATGATCATCATCATTATCATCATCATCATCATCATCATCATCATCATCATCATCATCATCATCATCATCATCATCATCATCGGTATCATCATGCTCTATCTTGAGGAGGGGGAGGAGGAGGCGGAGGAGGCGGAAGAGGAGGAAGATTGAGTTGTGATCACTGCAATCGTGTGATGCGAGGAAACATTCCACCTAGGGCATCCGTGTCTTCTCTCCTCGCTCTGGTGGGCACTGCCTGGACGACTGCCCCGGCTGCTTGGCCTGTGCATTCGTGACCGCCTGCAATCTGCAAGCACCAACACGAACCTTCAGCCATTCGTGGCCAATATTTGGACCTTTGACACAAGGACACAAACATCTACTGAAGTCTACTGCCCGTAAGATGTTCCAGGTGATGCTGCCCAAGAAAAAACAACACTTTCCATGCACCAAGGGATCCATACACATCAGCTATCACCGGCACACTTTTCTAGCGGGTGAAGCTGTTGCCGCTGCATCTTGAGTTGCGCACCCATCCCTTCTGCCCGTTTCCAAAGCTGGACCAAAGAGTTCATATTGCAGAGTGAGGCTGGTTCCTCTCAGAAGCTGTTCTTGCAAATACTCAGCCATGTACCCGTTCTTTTGCCCTGCCTCAGCTTGCCCACCCAATCAACAATACCATGTCACATTTTGTGAAGCAATGTGCAAAATGACTTCAAAAGAGACCCCAGAGCTTGGCTGGAGTGATTATGTCTCTGCGTTCCGCACAGCCACACCTCGAGGTGGCCACCCGCGCAATGCCCGCGCCAAAGGTGCTCCTTCCAGTGTGTCGCTAGCTCAGCCCATGTTCACAATTTCTACCTACAGCCAGAAAGTAGGGTCCTTCTCACTTCTTGGGTGACCGGGGTGAGAATGCCAGAATCATTGGCCGGCAAAATGGGCCCCGGTTCAGATCTCGCAAACACCAGATGGGACCTCCTCCAAAATATGTGTGAAAGGTCTTCCCACTACCTGCTTTGACGCACAAGAGCCAGGCGGCTAATGACACGGCTGAACCTAAGGACCCACTATCCCTGGCCGCACCAGCCATAGCGCCAGAGAGGCAAGCTATGACCGGCCAATGGCAAGACTGTCAAAGCTACAATCTGCGAACCCCTTTTTGGGGGAACCCCCCCAAACAGATGGTAAAAGGGCGCCTAGCTGGGGGACCTAATTCACATAAAATTTCGAGCAAACCCATTGCACCCGGAGCTCGAAGCTCTCGTGAGCCCCGATGCGCAGTCCTCTGAGGCGCCTTGGGGCTAATGCTTCGAGACAGGGATCCCAGACCTGGCGGTCTGAAAACGCACCATGCGCACAGCCTGGAGTGTTCATTACGATTTAAAAAGGGTCTATATTTGACCAACAAACAAAAGGTGTATGTGTTTGCTTGCGCTACTATTCGTCAATAAGTACCATTGTTACTATCATTAGTGTTTTACTCCCGGTGCGACAATGCTGTATGAATTCTGAGGCTGGTTTAGGCTTGGTTTCGATTGGTTATAGAGCAATTGGTGTATGCTTGGTTGGTTTGGCAGCGCTTTACGTTTAGGGATGGTTTAGTGCAGGGCAGGTTTAGAGTTTGCTTGGGATGGTCTAGGTAGGCTTAGGGTGGTTTACAGCAGGTTCCTTTGCCTTGTTTAGAGTTGCTTTAGGGTGGGTTTAGAGTTGGTTTGAGGCTTAGTGCGGCTTCGGGAGGTTTCGGATTGGCTTGGGGGTTAGAGTTGGCATTGGGTTTACTTGGGGCTTGTTTAGGGTTGGTTTGAGGGGAGTTTAGGGCTGAATCATCGTGGAT